CTCCCCGCCCGGCGCTGAAGTAAGAGGTAAGCATAGAAAATAAAAATAAAACTTTATTGTCCAATATTGGATAAACACATCTAAATATCCCAGATACCAAAAAAAAGTGAAAAAATTATAATAATGAAAAAAAGGAGATGATAGTAAGTATAAAAATAGGACCAACTATTGGAGCTAATGTGTACAATGTGTACTAATTACAAAATAGCCAGGTAGTGATATTGATGAAGTGGAAACAGTATCTGAGGGGAGATATACAGTGTATACATAGGTAGATGCAATAAGGTAACCCTAGTCGTACTGGCCAAGTGGCAACAGAGTGGGTATATCGTATAACTAGTCAAGCTCAAAGTAATGTAAATCTGTCTGTGTGGCTCTAAGTACAGCAGGATCAAATTGGTGTCTGGCTTGTTAGAGAGTATCTGGGAAGTCCACAGCAGACCACAGATAAAAGAGAATCATGATCGGGAAAACTGACAGTGGATAGCATAAAAGATTAGATTGCTTCTCCCCTATTAGGATAGTCTCTGACAGCACCTAAATGTAGGTAACTGAGCGCACAGTTCTACCCTGATAAAATTCAGGGCATCAGTATCAAAGAATAAAAAACAAAACCAGCTTGAATAAACCTATATAGTGTAAAGTATATAAAATCTGAAGCAGATATTTAGTAGATAACCCCAAAAAACAGGTTCTAGGCTTCATTGGTAGATAAGAGATAGCATCCAGTATACTACTGCAGATCCCTAAATGGACTCTTAAGATAGATAGTGCACTAATAAATCTCTGGGTCACAGGATAGATTATTCAGTACTTTGCTGGAAGAGTCCCTGGGAAAAAGAGCCCGCTAGAATGGATAGAGCTACTGAATGCTTATCATATTTGTAGTGTCTGGTATTTCTCAGGTATGCTGTGCTGAACAACTGTGTACTTATCATGCTTGTAGTATCAAGTATCGCTCAGGTATACTGTGCTTCAACTGGAGGAGTAATGAACTGCCTATAAAAATAGCTGCAGAGCGGTCTAAATCTAAAAACCCACAGAAATGTGGAGTCTACCTCAACGCGTTTCGGCACTAGGATGCGCCTTTGTCAAGAGTTTGGTGTAGACTGAAAGTGCCGCCTCTTATAACAGGATGTGTACGCCCCTTTGTTTAATGACGCTTGTATTGGTAAACCAATTGCATCCAACTATCATTCCGGGTCATCATAATCCTAATTTTCATCCTTCAATAAAACATTCTGAGTATTTAGAATTCCACTTAGAGAAATCACTCTTGTTCGTGCATTACCAAAACAGTAAAATCTATGCAAAGTACTTTTATTTAGTAAAAAGCTCTAAATAAAGTAATAGGACATTTCTACTCACTGTACTCACTATAGTGCCTGCAAACTGACAAACAAGCTCCAGACCAATTAAATTAACAAGAGCCAAATCATTAATTAGCTCAGATAAGCACCAAATGCTGCTAAAAGAGCAACATCGCAATTATATAGGAGGGATTCTATGAAGTCCAAGCACTGAGCACAATTAATATGCATCCATTTTATCAATGCCAAGCCAGGAAAAAGTCAGACATATTACTAAATGTTACGGGGCAGCACAAACAAATGTCATGCAGCTACTAATTGTGTTAAAAGGACATTTCCCATACAGATTTGGAAGCATGCTGTCATCAGATGTATTCTGTGAAATTGTTAAAAATATAGTGATCTTAAAATCATTATAATGTTAAAGGGACACTATAGGCTCTGAAGTGATCTGAGTGCAGTGACACTGTCTGTTTAACCCTGCAATGGTAAAACACTGCAGTTTCAGAGAAACTGCAATGTTTAGACTGCAAGGTTAAGTCCATCTCTAGTGGCTGTCTTCCAGACAGAGGTGCTTACTGGCACCTAACTCCGTGAAATGATGCTGGACATCCTCACGCTTTGCATGAGGACTTTTGACATCTTCAAATTCCATATAGGAAAGCATCAGGTCTCACCATGGCCATGACACCTAGAGTTGAGCGAACCCGGACTGTAAAGTTCGGGTTCGTACCGAACATTACGTTTTTTGGACCCCGGATCCGAACACAGACATATCACTGTATGTTCGAGTTGGAGTTCAGTGTTTGGCGATTTAATGGCGCTTTTTGAAAGGCTTCAGGGCAGCCAATCAACAAGCGTTTGACTCGTGTGCCCTTAGAAGCCATCACAGCCATGCCTACTAATGGCATGGCTGTGATTGGCCAATGCAGGGTGTGACCCAGCCTCTATATATAAGCTGGAGTCACGTAGCACCGTACGCACATGAAATCTTATTAGCGTAGGGAGAGGATGCTGCCGCTGTGAGGGACAGCTTAGGAAAGAATTCTGCAAACTAGTACATTAGTGGGGTGCTCTTCATATCTGAGAGTCAAATAGAAGCGTCAAATAACGCGTTTACATCGGAGTTTTGAAAAGTAAAGTTTTTTGGGTGCTAAAAAGTACATTAGTGGGGTGCACTTCATATCTGAGAGTCAAATAGAATTGTTGAATACTGCTGTCACATTGCAGTTTTAAAACGTAAAAATTTTTGGGTGCTAAATAGTACATTAGTGGGGTGCACTTCATATCTGAGAGTCAAATAGAAGCGTCAAATACTGCTGTCACATTGCAGTTTTAAAACGTAAAAATTTTTGGGTGCTAAAAAGTACATTGGGTGCACTTCATATCTGAGAGCCAAATAGAAGCGTCAAATACTGCTGTCACATTGCAGTTTTAAAAGTAAATTGTTTTGGGTGCTAAAAAGTACATTAGTGGGGTGTACTTCATATCATAGAGTCAAATAGAAGTGTCAAATACTGCTGTGACATTGCAGTTTTCAAACTTAAAATTTTGTGCGTGCTAAACGGCTAGATAATATTTTAGTGGGGTGCACTTCATATCTGAGAGTCAAATCGAAGCGTCTAATAGTGCGCTTACAGCACAGTTGTAAACATTCTAATTGTTTTGCTGCTAATCTGCTAAATAGTACATTTTGGGGCCTGCTCTTCATATCTGAGAGTCAAATCGAAGCATCTAATAGTGCGCTTACAGCGCAGTTGTAAAAATTCTAATTTTCTGGGTGCTAAATAGTACATTTGGGGTGTGTACATCATATCTGGTGTATGTGTGCAATACTGGCTAGTTACCGCTTCTCAAGAAAGTCTAAAGGCAAATAAATGTTGCCTATGGTGCAGGTAGTATAGAAGGCAAGACTGAGACAAATCATTCGGGTTACGTTTGCCTGTTGACATGTTAATTATCTTAGACCATTCAAATTCAATAATCAATGAAAAAACACACTAAGTGTCATACAAAAATATGTATTATAGACAAGTTAAAAACAATACTACAAGTCATGCTATAACAAAATTAAACAAGTTTTAAAATATGTATGGGCCAACCAGTGGCTGTAAAAACAAAGTTTTACTGGTTACATTCATGACTACACACTCTAGTGAACAGGACCTTCATGTAGTGTGTTCTTTTTTTTTAAATCATACAGCATCCTTTCATGTGCTTTTCAGATGTCATATTGTTAATTACCAATTTTTGTTTAGCCTGATTTTTTTTTAAAGTGAAAAATAAGTGTTATTGTGATCGCTTCATATACAGAAGCATTAATATACATTTCTATATTGTGTAAAGACACAACTACAAACTTAAAAACCAAACACCAAAACAACGTGCCAGACAATCTACCTGTGCATGGCTAGTGTGATACAATAAGTCTACATCTTAAAAATGCAATAACCCACAGAAGATGGGCGAGAATTTTTTTTGCAAATGGAACTTTGATTCGAATTTACTACATCGGTCACTTGTAATATTGTTTCACACCTACAACACTTATTACACAGATCTAAGTGATAGAAAACAGATTGATATTTTCTACACTAGAAACTACCAGATAACAAGCTGCTATATTTAAACCAGTTATCAATAGCTAAGAGGTACTTAAACAATATTGTAATTCTGGGGCAATACCCTCACAAGTCAAACTGAGAGGTCAGTTTATAGGGAAAACTGTTGCCTGGATACAATTCTAAAACAATTTCCATATGTCCTTTGCAGACTTTACATGCTGGAAAAACACAGGTGCCAACTGCTGTGGATTTCTGCAGTGTGCATACCAGCAAGGAGGGCAGGGTTGAGGAGTGGGTGGAAGATGATGTGGAGGATGATGAGGTCCTAGACCCCACATGGAATCAAGGTCATGCGAGTGACGTGTACAGTTTGGAGGAAGAGGCGCTGGTCGCACAGAGGCACCAGCACAGCATAAGAGGGAGCAGGCTGCAAAAACGGGGCGGCCGTCCCCTAGCGCTCATCGGGATGTATTACCTTTAGCATTTCCACAGTTATCCAAGTAACAGTTGAAGCAATAAAAAGAACCATAACAGATTTAACGAGCCATTCGCAGTTTCGCAGTCCGGTGACCGGGACCCAGAAACTGTCTGGGCGGCGGTCGGACGACCGGGACCCAGTATGCCTGATGTAGAAGTTAGGAGTCACATTGTGGACAAGATTAGCAGGGTCTGGTGCAGGGTAACCGCACGCTCCCTGGTGTTGAGCACCAGCGTTTGTGCGGCCACATACCAGGACCCTGATGCAGCTTCAGTAAAAAGAGTACTGGATACTAGAAGCTAACACCAGACTGATTCGCAACTTGGAACAGTATATGACATTCACTGTAGCAGCTGTGCACGCTTTCGGTGTTCTCACCCTGCTGCTGCTCGCCTCTCTGCGCTGCAGCGTAACTTTGGCCTTCCCGCTCACTGCCTCATATGCAACGTGCCCACAAGGTGGAACTCCACCTTGCATATGCTGGAGAGACTGTTTGAGCAGAAGCAGGCGATAGTGGAGTTTCAGCTGCAGCACGCACAGGTCAGTGGCTCTGCACCAGACTTGCCCTCCAATTGATCAGTTTTAACGGATTTCAAGTGGACTCATTACAATTACAGGGTCTCTAAAGAGTCCTGTATTGTTATTTGTCGTCACTACCTTCCCGCATTGGGAGTGGGTCATGTGCGGGCCTGCTGCCTTCCTTGCATGTGATAGCTATTTATCAGGGTCCCTGTACAGAATCGAACCCTGATTCCCCATTACCCGTGGTCACCATGGTAGGCGCAGTCAATGGCATCGAAAGTTGATATGGATTGACATATGAATGCGTCGTCGCCTTCTCGTTGGGGAGCACATTGAAAAAGTGCTCTAGCATGACGAGCTGGGTGATCTCCTCCGGGAACTTGGCTTGATGGGAGTTGAGCCAGTTCTGGGTGGCCCTTGTGATGCCATGGTGTATACCCAGATACATCAGAGCTGCTGCAGAAAGTGCAAGCCATCTGTGCACACTTTTGGCATTCTCACCCTTCTGTTGCTCGCCTGTCTGCGCTGCAGCGTAACTTCAGCCTTCCCGCTCACCACCTCATGAGACTGTGCGAGCAGCAGCAGCAGGCGATAGTGGAGTTTCAGATGCAGCACGCACGGGTCAGTCGCTCTGCGGAACAGTTTTCGTTTTTTATATGTCCCAATATTTTGGGGGCTACCCCAATTAAAATAAAATATATATATATATATATATATATATATATATAAACAGTGTTGGCTACCTCCTCCTCCTCCACCGACGCTTCCACCTCCACCGCCACGGTCACCGCCTCCTCAACCTATGGGTCACTTAGTATAAACTATGTACACAATAGCAGAGGCTTGTGAAGGCCTTTTCTCCATGCATCAGGAGTTGAGCATTTTTCCATGCATCAGGACTGCAAGAGATGCACAGCAGGCCGCAAATGTTTCTTTTTTTGTGTGTCCCAATATTTTGGGGCTATCCCAATTAAAATAAAATATATATATATATATATATATATATATATATATATATATAAACAGTGTTGGCTACCTCCTCCACCGCCACGGTCACCGCCTCCTCAACTTATGGGTCACATAGTATAAACTATGTACACAATAGCAGAGGCTTGTGAAGGCCTTTTCTCCATGCATCAGGAGTTGAGCTCAGTTTGAACAATGAAAGAGAATATCCTGCACTCCAACCCTCTCTCAAATGGATAATTCTGGTGATCCTCCTGACAGCCATGTTTTTGATTTTGATTTATGTTCATCCAAAGCTAAAATCAAAGATTCCATCTAGTGCTATTTTATGGCTCAGCTGTATTTTTATGTTATTTTAAGTGATTTCCCTATCCACATTTGTTTCCAGGACACTTGTCCTACTCTTACCCCCATTTTACTTCCTTTTGCAGCCCTCTAGCCCTTTCCAGGACTTTTTTAGAGGCATTTTTGTGGCCAAATGTTCGGGTCCCCATTGACTTCAATGGGGTTCGGGGTCAAGTTCGATCACAAACCCAGACTTTTTTTCAAAGTTCGGCTGAACCCGCCGGACCCGAACATCCAGGTGTCCACTCAACTATAATGACACCGATGGAGGAGACCAGTCCCTCTTTGCCAGTATTAAGGTACCCTGTTATTTTAACCCTGTCTTCTTGTCAGCCGCTATTTACACTGCAATAATGGAATTAGACTCTCTTACTAAATCAGAAGAGATGTGATTCACAGGGGTCCCAGCTTCTCCTTAAGCAGCCATCTCTCCGTGGTTCAGCCTCGTGTAGGCCGCAAGCCTTGGTGTGTCAGTCCGATGTCGCAGGTGCTCGAGAAAGGCACTGTCTGATGCAGCAACCTTTCCTGGGTGTGAATATTGTGAACTGTGGTCTGTGAGTGCTGATTAACAGGTAAAGCACCCCAGTTTTTGTCCCCAGACATGGGAGCTCGTGCTAAAAACGTCTGACCTGCTTGGCTGCTAGGCTCCACCCCTTAAAACTTTTTTTTGTTTTCTTTAAACCATCAATTTAATAACTATAATTGGAAAACATGCCCTAGGAAAAATTAGTGTATGCTCCTAACAAAACAATAATCATTAGACAAAACAGCCAGGGGCAGAGACCGAGGGCCCGTGGTAGTCAGGGGCCCGGGTGCAGTAGAAGTTATGGGCCAAATGGTAAGATCAGCAGATTACCCCAGCAAGCTGTGTGTGTTTTAAAACTCATTTATGAAATGCAGCATGTCACAGTGTATGTGGATGGAGGCGGGGATAGGATTTTATATCATATCCCCGCCTCTCAAAACACAGAGCCCTGGCCATGCGGGAAGGAGCCTGAACAGAAGGGAGGACAAGCAATTTAAAGTAAGGAAAGGGAGTTTAGAAGAAACAAATGGGGAAATTGTAAATAAACTGTGTATTAACTATTTAGGTGCCAGCTCCATACTCTGCTCAGCTCCCAGTGGCTTGCTCTCGTACTGCAGTCACAGTGCAAGCTGCTCAGAGCTCCCGGAAGGCTGGCTGTGCTCCTCCTGTGATATCAGAGAACCTCAGGGATCGAGACTGCAACAGGTAAGTGGAACTATTTTATTACAGGATAAGGGGTGTGAGGATTATTAGGAGGGTTGGCTAGGACTTTGGGACACCAGGACACTTCAAAAGGCAATATTAACCATTTTAGGGCCAGAGGATTAGGCATCCCCTAGAGAAGTTAACCTCTTCTGGATTTAATTACTTGGCAACTAACTAACTAATCCTATATAGGAACAATATCGTAGCGTTAAACACTTCCAAGGAGAACAACCTTATAGGCTAGTGGTTTGGGCCTTGTTTTATGTTTTGTTTATTTTGAATGTGTATGTCTATAAGTGTATGAGTGTGTATTTAGGAAACATATTGTATATGTGTAGAAGTCTGGGTATATGTGATGTGTGCATCTCTGAGTATGTGTAACAGTTTGCATGTATATGTTTAACTATGTATTAATTGTGAGTGTATGAATGTATATGTGTAATAGTGTGTGCCTATGAATTTGTATTAATTCCTGATGGAAAATTGGCTTTCAAAAATGAAATGCTAACATTTTATTGATAGCTAGTAATAAAAATAACATTTTAAGACTGCTATTCTTTTGTATATATGTCTTTGTTTCTCTATTATTTGTTTCTTTATTTGTTTGTATATATATTTTTTTTTTACGGTGGCGCTAGGGTTGTTCGTTGGGCGAGCTTAATGTAAAATTTATTTTTGGGGGTTAGATCCATCTAGCAAAGCCCCTGGGGATCAGATAGACAAAAGTGCTTTGTAAGAGAATGATAGTGAATGGGAAGATAAGTTACACTATGACATTCGGTAACATACACCCCTGTATAGACATACTTCTCAAATACAACAATATATGTACACAGTAACATCCAGTGAAGTACAATCGTACGCACATACAAACACAGACACATGCATGTCTCACAAAAACATTCTTGCACTCACTAACACAGTCCATACAAATATTCAATAACTGCATCTGTACACATTAATTTTATACACAAATATACTTTTGAATTTACACATCCCTAAATACATCGATGCTCTGAAGAATACACCCAGCTTCCCCACACACTCCATACAAAATCACTACTGTATTCCTACAATGCACACAAATACACATGTGGTCTATAAAGATATAAAGTTTTTGTTTCACGCACACGTCCGCTACATGTAAATATAAACAGTGGCACTACTCACACAAACACAATCCTTAACCCCTTAAGGACTGGACTGTTTTTGCGATGTTGTACATTTGCGACCAGGCATATTTTTACACTTTTGTGGTGTTTGTGTTTGGCTGGAATTTTCCGCTCTCTCATTTACTGTTCCCATACAAATTATATATTGTTTTTCAGGACAAAAGGGGCTTTCTTTACATACCATTATTTATATAATCTCATGTATTTTAATTTAAAAAAAATAAAAAAATATGATGAAAAATTGAAAAAAATACATGTTTTTTGACTTTTACTTGAAAAATCTTTTACTCATCTACAAAAGCGAATTAAAAAAACTGCTAAATAGATTCAAAATTTTGTCCTGAGTTTAAAAATACCCCGTGTTTACATGCTTTTTTGCTTTTTTGCATGTTATAGGGCTATAGGTACAAGTAGAATATTGCGGTTTCAAAACATAAATTTTTTAAATTTATCAATAGTGACATTGTAACACTATTATCTGTCATAAATCTCTGAATAACACCCCACATGTACATATTTTTTAAAGTAGACAACCCAGGGTATTCAATATGGGGTATGTCCAGTCTTTTTTAGTAGCCACTTAGTCGAAAACACTGGCCAAAGTAAGCATTCATATTTGTTTGTGTGTGAAAAAAGTAAAAAAAACTAAATTGAACGCTAATTTTGGCCAGTGTTTGTGACCAAGTGGTTACTAAAAAAGACTGGACATACCCCATTTGCAATACCTTGGGTTGTCTTCTTTTGCAAATGGTATGCCATCATGGGGGTAATTCTCATTCCTGGGCTACCATACGCTCTCAAAGGCAACGTAACCAACCTGGCCATTTTCAATGTAAAAATATTTGACCCATATATTTGACCCTGTAACTTTCAAAAATACTATAAAACCTGTACATGGGGGGTACTGTTTTACTCAGGAGACTTTGCTGAACACAATTATTAGTGTTTAAAAACTGGAAAACGTATCACAACAATTATATCATCAGTAAAAGTGCTGTTTGTGTGTGAAAAATGCAAAAAAAGTCACTTTCACTGACAATATCATCACTGTGATATGTTTTACTATTTTGAATCACTAATATTTGTGTTCAGCGAAGTCTCCCGAGTAAAACAGTACCCCCCATGTACAGGTTTTAGGGTGTCGTAGAACGTTACAGGGTAAAATACAGTGCTAGCAAATTCAATTCTCTGGAATTCCGGCCTGGGTTGGCAGGCAGGTCCCTTAAATTGCAATCAATAAAATTACTGAATTATGTAAAACTATTACATAAATACGCACATAGAATTTAAATATATATGCATATTTATATATTTGAAGTCTACGTGTATATTTATATAATTATTTATGTAATTTTGTATATGGACATATGTATATTTCTTATTATTTTTATTTTTTATATACATAGATATATATACAAATTCATTCTAAGTGTATTTTGATATAAATATATATATATTAATTTTAAAATACAGTTAGAATAAAATTTCATATAGATATATAATTTTTTTATTTTTTTATTATTATTTTAAATTTTTTTTATTTAATTTAAATTACTTATTATTTATATTTTATAATAATATATATATACAATATATATAGTTATTATATATATTATATATATATACGTGTGTAATTTAATTATAAGTGT